TGTCTGTCTGTCTGTCTGTCTGTCTGTCTGTCTGTCTGTCTGTCTGTCTGTATGTATGTATGTATGTTTGTATATATGCTACACTCCCCAGGGACCCACCTACCGTAGCAAAAGTGCAGGCAGCAAATGACATTGAAACCATACAAGTGAGTTGAAGCATCTGCTGATGACATCGAAAGCACACAAGTGAGTTGAAACACCGGACCAGATGGACATTGTGCAAGACATTGGGCGTAGTTGTCAGGTACTTTTCCATAGCATAAGAATGTTGCAATTGCAAAGTTTACGTCTTTGAAAAAGCCCGTCCCATTGTTCCGACACAACAGGCTTGCACGGGTCCCAATTGTTTGGACAGCCACTCAAGTCCTTCTTGTCGAAAGTGGTCCCGCCAGCTTCCACATTGACCCAAGTAGAGCCATTGCCGAATCGGATCATTCACTTTTCTTCCACCTATCCTCCGTGTCCTCAATGCTCGTGTGGTTGACGCGCAGAAAACAATGTATAGCCGTTGCGGGGCGTTGTCCAAATGAGAAGGAGAAGAGAGCTTTGATCCTGCAAGGACGTAGAGCTCGATCCAGATGCGTCGCAAAAGACTGGATATGACTGGATAATGATGGTGTGTTTTGATGTAGGTGCGAGGCTTGGTATAGGTTTGGAAAGGGTTCCCCGTGAACACCTGGGCCAGACAGATTCTTCCCATGTCGGTAGAAACCAGGACGATCTTGGCGACGTTAGCCTCCGACGGCAATGACCTTTTTTACTTGGTCTGGTCTTTCCGGTCTGAAGAAGAGACTGGCTGTGTAGACTGCAAGTGCATGTGCTCAGTCTGCAGCCTTATTTCATCCACTTGCCCCAAATACTTCACTGCAAGGTCTTGCAGGGTCTCTGAATACTCTTTTTGATCTCGCTCGTCCGCTGCAAGCGATGTTACTGCTCTAAGCCTGCTTCAGCGTGGGCGGAGCTGCATTGTCTTTGACTGCTCGGTGGTTCTGAATGGTTTCTTCCAAATTGGCAATGTCCTCATTGCTGTCTTGCTTTGGCTTTCGAGCTGGAGAAAGAGCTGGGCGAAGAGGACGAGGAGCTCTGTTTCTTCATTGTGGGGTGGTTGGCGACCGCGAAGGTGCATGAGCAGCTGGGTCTTGGCGCTGCCCCGTTTAGCCAAGTCGTGAGGACCTGGTCGGCTTCATTCATCGCTCCAGCTGCCATGGATGCTTTCTTGCCTCTTCAGTTTGTTTTGCGCTGTGTTAGTGGCTGAATACATTCAGTCCTTGTTAAAGGGCGGGTGAAGGATGAATGACTGGAATGCCTTCGCCCACTTTGCGCTTTTAATTTCAGCAGTTGGTCTGCGCTTGTTGTTCGTCCGCACGGAGGTTTCTGACGGCGTTTGCGGAGCAGCGCCTCTCCATAACCATTCACCCCAGATGACAGGTCTAGCAGCGAACAAGTACAAGCAACAAAAAGGGCGTAGAGCTTTAGCAGCAAAGCTGCGGTAGCAAACGACTGGTATTTGAACTTAGGTCAAACAATCAATATTTTGTACTTAGATAATTTTGGAGGCCACAAACCTTGCAAGGCTTGTGGTCTCCAAAATTATCTAAGCGCCAGATTACAATACAGTTGTCAATTTTGGAAATAATCTAAAAACGTAAGAAGAGACTGCAAATGCCGTCAAAATCTACTGAAAGGTGAGTGTGTGTGTATTGGGGTTGCCAAGTATATATACAAATATATATATATATATAATGTACACCTGCAACCCAGGTGACCCCTTGCTTGGGAAGGAAATTGCAAAAATATGTGGGTGATGGGGCATCCAAAACACATGCCACTCAGGTTCCAAGAGTGATATATATATATATATATAACAATGAATGCAATACGATCACGCGCGCTCGGAGTCCACGGGAATCGCAGACGAGCGTGTTGCCCGGCCGCAGGTCGAAGCAACTAGAAAAGTCCCCAAAGAACGTGCATTCAAAAATCGCAAACAGGGATCCTCCATGATTCGATCTCACGGCCAGCGCCTTTGGCGAAAGCACGTGCGATCAGAAGCCGGCAATCGTCGGAATGATAGGGTGAAGCCCCTACAATGCACCCTTGGGGCAACACCCTACCACACGACCTCGGCTTGGTGGAATTGAAATCACCAGCAAAAGCTTGCACATGATCAAGCTTGGAAAGGACCAACATCGCAGCGCGGTTGACCTTGTACACATCATAAAAGGTCGTGCACTGTACATCTCCAACAACCTTGAAGCCTGAGTTGTGAAAAGCGACAGCCAATTCACAAAAGCTGAAACTTTCTGTATCATCGATCCGCCAGTGCAAGCCGGAAAGGAATCGGCATACTTCCGCCCAGTCATCTTTGTGTCCCTTCCATTGGGCTGGTGGTGGGCAATTTCTGGGTATCTTTGGCCTCCATGGGTACAAACGCTTGGAAATGCCCCAAGGCCAGTGACTGAAACGAGCCTGACAAGCTTCCTTTGTAATCAATTCGGGCAGATCGGAGGCGATGTGATCTTGAGATTGACAAGCTTCATGTGTGGGTAGCATGCTATGCAAGCGAATCAACCATTCCTGGTGCTTGCAAATGGCAAGTTCTGCAGCATCTTGTATGTCCGGACGGACAGGTGAAAGTTTCTGTGCAAGTGTCTTAGCCGTTCTATCACAAAGTCTATTGTTTAAGATGCGCTCAACCGTGGAACCCGCAGCTCTTGCAAGGTCCTCCGTCAACAAACCATCGGGCACACGCTCAAGCCGATGAGCAGGTATCTAGGTAACCTGGAAAGGTTGCGAACAATGCTGGAGCCGTTGATCAAGAACGCGTGAAAATGTTCGCCACCACTCAGCACACCTCCAGTTCGGGTCAATGGTTCCACCAGAACAAATGGAGGTGATATTCTTTGCAACCGACCAGCAGTCCGTGTAGATGTGTACACACGTGGACGCAGTAATACACGCCCACAGGACAGCCCAGAGCTCAGCCATGTATGCGGAAAGGGCCCAATGCGAAATCAAACCCTGCTTGACTACCTGCCTGGAGTCATCAACAATTGCGAAAGTGGCAGTCATAAGCCAGAACTTGTTGCCATGCACCAAGGAGCCGTCAGTCCACAAATGGCGACATCTGTTGCATCAAAGTCACTTGCTACTGGAATATCACAAGCATGGGCGAATTGCAGCCGTCGTTTTGCAATAAACAAGGGATGCTCGACATGCCCAAGCAAATGGAAATTCTTTCCCAACTCATCACCAGCAGGGGGCCCAATCAACGCATGCAAAGTCGTGCACTCCTGCACAAGGTGGAACATGGACTCTTTGGCATTCTGACAGAAACGGCATGTGGCTGTATCTGACCAGCCCGAGCCAGCAAGCCTGTCATTTGTCAATGTACAACCAACCAAATTAGATTCAAGCCGGTGCCGTGAGGGGACCTCTCCATTGTATTTCCCAACCGGCAATTTCCGAAGAAGTGCAGTAGTTTGCTGGTGGTCGAAGATGCCCTGCGTCCGCAGGTAGTCCTTTCTCTTGGAGCCACCCGTAGCAATATAGCAAGCATTCCTCGCAATGTTGGCCAAAACTTTCGTGGCATCCTTAGCACTCAGCGAAACAATGGGGACTGGCTGTGAGTTGCCGAACGAAACAGCAAGCTGCTCATTTATCTGGATACCTAAAGTGTTTGCAGCGTGAAGCAACTGCTCAGCTAACGAGTGTGTACCATGTGTATGCTGCCACGTTCTCTGCAGCATGGGCACTGTGTGCGGAAGCATATGACACATGCGGATAACTTCAAGAACAGTATTAAAAGCACAAGCAAACTTGGGGTCTGTTCGATGTGGAGCGGAAAGAACAGCTTGAAGGAGGTGCTTCGCTCTCCATTTCGGTCGTCCGACCCACAAGGCTCTGGCCACGGCATTTTGGATGGAATTGATGGCCTTTTGGGGGATCTTGGAAATATGCGACCCAAAAGCAATCTGGGGTATAACTTTGCTACCGATGAGATGCACTCGGGTGTGATGTGGCACAGGCAAGGCTGCAATGTTAATTGTCAATGTCTTCAAGCACTTTCTTCAACCGAGAATCCTCAAAACAAAAGGAGTGGCGCTCGGAAATATACATCTTGGTCCCAAGCACTTCAATCTCCAGTTTAACTGGATAATCGGGAAAGGCAGCTCGAGTCTCACTGCGGCCTTGCGGTGTAGTGGACCACATGGACGATTTAGCCGCATTCAACTTCTGGCCGACAAGCTTGTCCCAGACAGCTGTGACCTCGAGTGCACGGTGAAGGAGGTGACTGTGCTCAAGCCTAGCCCACAAATAGGCATCGTCGATAAATGCTCGTGCAAAAACCTCTGGGATATGTTCGAGTAGGTGGCACCACACCTTGTTACAGGCATTCATTGCCAGGAGTGACAAAGAGCACCCCTGTGCAACCCCGTTTGCAGGCCGGGTGGCAATCGGTGCAATCCACCGGCGGTAAGAGAGGTGTCTATGCAACCCCTGGTAGATCTTTAAAAAGACATTAACGAACCCCATCGGGAGACCAAAAGCGAGGAAGAGAACCCCCGCAAATGTGGGTACGATGCGGTCGAACGCTTTAGCCTTATCTAACTTGACCCCGACGAGAGGCTGATTGTCGAGCTTGGCACAGTCAATGTGCAGCCGGAGATCATTGTAGAGGGTCGACATGGTTCGGCCACGGATTCCGCCGAGAATGCTTGAAGGCGTGACTTGCTGTTGCCATTGTTGAAGCTGAGCATATCTGGACCCAGTGTAGGCCAGCAAAAGTGCAGGAAGCACCGTTATAAGCCTTTTATTCAAGGGCGTGGCTGGCCCT